TTATGCCAAAGGACGCCTTAATGCAAATTTACTATTTACTTCTGTTGTATTTATTTTTTTGAACCAGAATGTATTATATATGTTGCGTTATAAATGGTGTTATACTGCACAGGCTGAATGGGAGGAAGTAGCCAGTCGAGCTGATTTGCTGAAGCAGGAGAACAGTTCACTTAAGGAAGAATTGAAACAACTTCAGGAGAAGTGTGATAACTTGACCTCAGAAAATACATCTTTACATGTAAGTTTTTCGTTATGTTTTTATTGTGTAGATCCTCAAAGCTGGTAGTTAATATATATGTGAGACGTTCCTAACGATTGCAGGAAAAGCTTAAAGCGCTTGATAGTGAGAAACCAAATGGAAACTTGTGAAGCAGGGCCTCGCTTTCTGACTGCTGATGTAAGGCAGGCATAAAACTACTTTGTACTAGCTGCCACTGCCATTAGAGAGCATGGAACCTAATATTTCTTGCACCTTTTCAGATAAATTGGAGGTGACATGATAGGCCGGAGATAATTAGGAGGTGTTCATGTGTGCAATTAGATTTTTGGCTGAGATGGTAGGATTGTATCATAGGATTCAACATGATGGCTACAGATTCTTCTTCTTCCAGTCGTGGCAGCTGCGGTGCTCTATGGTGTGTTTTTTTTCCTGCTTTTATGTGAGATGCTACCTTAGCAGTATGCAAAGATCCCCAAGTTATATTTGAGACTTTGCGGGATTAGCTTATAAGATGCTTGTTGTAGAGCTGCTGGTTGACCTGAACTGATGCTTTGCTATAGCGATGATTTATAACATTCAGAGTTACTTACCAATGTGTATACTGCACTGAGTGATAAGTGGTATTGAAGGAATTATGCACTCCTGCTTGCATCATACTCTCTCTGTTCCAAAATAAGTGGTGGTTTATTCAAATTTGAACTAAAACCACGACACTTATTTTGGAATGGAGGGAGTACCACTGAAAGATGGTGTTACAGGAATTCTGCTTGTACCATTAATGTTGTTTCTGAAAATGTCAGTAGTTTCAGCTACATGATTCCCATTGCAAATCTATGTCAAATACTATTAGTGCATGTCGGTAGTTTCAGACACACAACTCTTCAATTTTATGTGAAACATTAGCGGTCATTTTTGTACCGATCTTGAATCAATTGTGAGATATATGAACCGTAGCTATAGCCCAATCACTTTAGCCGATCCACACTTATTCTTTCTGGCCGATCCACACTTAATCTTTCTGCGTTTTTTTGGTCTACAAACAACATTCTCTTCTTTTTACCCGTCTGTTTAGTAGAGTCTATCTCCGGTTGAAACAAAAGGGCATCCATGATCCATCATCCTGTTCAAACATGAAAGGAAAAAGGTTGCGGTGGCCGCCTTTTGATCTCTTTTGTCACCAGTCCGGCGCTTTTGTCAATCACGTGGGGGGATGGCCATGGCACGCTTTTGATCCCTTTTCCATGCTGTTGTGTGAGCTGGTGGAGCATTTCGATGTCGTGTGTATGCGGTGACCAAACGGAATGAGGTCATCGTGGCCAACACCACAGCATACACATACATATATGGGGCAGCCGGGGGAGAGACTCCTCAAAAGAAAGAGGAGAGGTGGTCCTGCTTGCTCA